CGCGCCACTGCCACGTTAGCGTGGCTGCGGAGCGCTGAAGACCGACCGCCTCCAGAGGAGGTGGGAGGACGCCTGGGCAGGGCTGGTGCTTGCCCTTCTGGTGGCCCCCTGTGTTCCAGTGGTTTAAATGAACTGTCAGACTGAGCCTCCCTGGAGGAGAGAAGCCCGAGTCCTGCTCCAACGACAACATCTCCCGCTGCGCGCACGCCAGGTAGGAACCGGCCCCGGGACGGTTTTCGCTGCCTCTGTAGCAGCGTGAACGACACCCGTCAGAAGTAACGACCCGAGGAGTCCTCCTGGCTGTTAATGACTTGACCAGGAACTTGCTTCCCCATCAGCTATTTCTGATTACCATAAAAAAGATACAACTCCGCTGACCGGCGTAACTGTTAAGCACCTTGGTCTTTCCTTTTGACTTAAGAAGGGACATTAAACCTTCACACAGAACTCCTTCCCTGTGCTACCGACCCATCTCAAAACCTGAACTCATTTACAGAGCTGCGTTCACTCCTCCGTTGCGACAGCTTGTACGTGGGGGTTTTCGCTCAAACTCCGTTATCAGTCTGTATTTCTAGTTCTCATGCTGCAGGACTCGGATGTGGCCCAAAAGGGAAAACTGAAATCTGAGTATCTTTTCTTACTCAAGTTGCTTTTACTGCCACAAACATAGTTTGACATCAGGCTTTGAAAACACTTTATCTCAGATTTTCTTATGACAGCATTTACTATAGTGCTATTAATTTAATACCTGGGGAACCAAAGTCTAATGCTTTAAACGATGTCACGACATCCCTTTTATTTGGAAATCCAGTGCGAAGGCAGGTTTATGATCTTTCTGGAAGGAACGGTGGGAAGGTCAGATGATGGGAAGAGTGGAGACTGCCGGGAGGAGCCTCAGCAGTAAGGCAGCAGCAGGCTGATCCCACATAGGGAACGCTCCTATATAGGCTGCAGGATTTCCCCCTTCTGAAATACATTATTCAGTAGCCAGCACTGTAAAACACGCAAAGCTTTCAAGGTTTTCTGTCGCCCTGTACTTACAGCGATTATTACACTGAGCCCCATTACTTCTCATGATTCCCAACTACTTAATGCCCTCTTGCAAACCTGTGGAGATTGTTCCATCAAGTTGCACCTAGTAGCTCATAGCTATGTTAAAATCAAAGACATGCAGTTAAAAGAATTTATCTTCTTAAAAAGGAATAAAAGTAGCCCAAGAAAAGTGCTGATCTGTTAAAATATAACTAAGGCACTGAACAGGGTTGTAAACTTCCAAGTCATCACGCAAGGTGCCTACACTGTGGAATACAAGTCTGGAGCCACTGAGATCTTCGTGGTCGCCCTACATCCCAACTTGGTCAATCTCGGCTCGTCTCCCTCCTGCTGGGACAGCGACGGCCAAGCAGGCGTGTTTCCTGCAGGACTACTCGGGGAGCGGCAGCTTCTTGCATTCCCAAAGTAGACTCACAGGGGGTGTACGTGGCGTAGAAAACCGAACCCACGCACGACAGAGGACGCTTGTAAAACGCAAAGGGAGGAACAAGCTGGAACCACAGTCAGGGTCGGTGACCGCTTTAGACAATGCCGAGAGGAGCAGTGGAACGGCCCTTCCAAGCAACAGCTGCAGCAGGCTGAGAAGCCTGTGAGCGCCAAGAGCAAGCCGGCAGGTCACAGCCTGCTGCTCCCTCATCATCTTCTCCTTCCCGTCTTAAGCAGCCTTGTCAGCCTAGACAAATCACACCTATCAAAGTCAAGGTGTGAGCAGAATTGATCCAATTATGCCAGCAAAACCTCCCTGCTCTTATTTGAGGCAATAATGACTTTTTCAGTTTAGTTTGTGACTAGCAACAATCTTTAAATGGGATTATATTGGGGGGTCTGTCTTAGATGGGAATGAATGTGTCTGTCTGAGGATTACACTGCTGTAACTTCTTGCGTGACTAGACAAGGCTTGAGTTAATAAGGAACGGACAGACCCTGCTCTCAGTGCTCGACTCCCCAGGGCACACAGCTTGAAACCATTTTACACTGCGTCCCGAGATTCAAAAAAATGGCAGAAATTCCTCTTGCAGAACAAGAGATGGAAGCAGGCAGTGATGGGCTACTGCCCGAATCGGTGCCGATGTACACGTCAGCCCAGGGAACGAGATTATCCCCGTAACAGCGTCTGGGGTTGCAGCGGGAGAAGCCAACCCGTGTTTGCTGGTCTGCCCCTCTGCCTGTGCACGCACGCAGACGGCAGCGGGAACATGCACACACCGGGGGGTGTTTCTTGGGCTACAGCCGCCGCCGCTGGCGCCGCGTGTTGCAGTAAGCACGTGAGAGTAAGTTTTGTGTAATTTTTTAGAGATTTCACTTTTAGATTAAAAAAAATGAACTTTATTTCTAATACTTAAATCCTCTTCGCCACTGGATGTCTGAGCAGTGATGCATAATTAGAAAGCGGGGGTCACTGCTCCCCAGTAAATTTAAGATGAGCAAAACGGAGACCAAGATACGCTGCAGCTCTAGCTAACTCACGCACACTAATCCTGCTTTGGAGGACGCCGGGCTCTGCCGGACAGGGAAGGAAACGATTCTGTTAGGACGTGATTAAGTCTGCAACTCTCTTTTCTTTATCATCACCGAAGAAATCACCACCCACTCCCTGGAAAAACACACTGCTTCACAGGCAATTATTTCTGATCTTTACCAACAGCGTGCCAGGTTCCCAGGCGAGGGAGAGGGGAGAGGGGAAAGCAGTAGTATAGTCAAATGGAGAGAAGAAAGGCTGAGGACCCCAGCTCACAGAACAGCTGTCCCACCTATTTTGTTAATATTGCTTCATCTTAAAAAGGCCTTTGGATTAAAAGTGAATTCAGTGCTTTTCCATCAAAAAGATACATAAATCTGTTACCTGACCGAGATGCAGTATGGCCCCCCACCCGCCCCAAACAGCGACAACATGGGACTGGACGTCATTAGTGAACCTGATGTTCTTTGTTTCAGAAGAGAAATAACATACAGATCCTCCATGTGATGCAGACACGTTGCGATACATCAAAATGCAGATTGGCGTGTGCTTCGTTAGCCAGCCTGTCGTCAGTTCTTGTTGAGAACAGAGTACCATTTTGCAACTGCTTTAATTTCGATTAATCAAAGTGAATGAATTCGTGAACACCGAAAGTGAGGATGAGCATCACTAGCTGTGTCCCACGACCAGGTACGAGGGGTGCGGTGCAGCCCCCTTCCCCAGCCCCCCGCACCCCGCCAGCCTCCCCCAGCCCCAACGCAACCCCAGACCTCAACGGAGCAAACCCCAAGCTGACTCAAGCCTGATTTGGTATTTTAAAACACAGAGAGACACCCACAGCGGGCTAACAGTGAGGCCCAGCAAGACACCTGTTTTCCTTTCCCTATACTTCGCTAAATATAAAATCTTCTCTAGAAATTAGAGACGTCTGACTATCGTGGAGGTTTCAATGAGCACAGTAAGCTTCCTAGAAAACAGCAGGACCGAGGGTGACACTTAGTGCACTTCACTTGCATCACGTGCCGTAACAGCTGATGGTTCGTAACTGTGGGATGGCGCTTTCCAGCTCACTTGAAACACCTAATAAAAAAGCAGGTTTCTGCCGAGTCCTGACAGTCCGGAAATGAAATGCAGTTCAGCACGTATTTGTGATCTCTGCTTTAAATGGCTCCTGGGATTACCGATAATCACGGTTACTGAGTTGTTATAGTGATTTAAATTCTTGACTCCTATGGTTAGTACAGTTGCCTTTTTCAGTATTTACCGGTAGCAAATCAAGACGCTACCTTCCTTAGAACAAGGTTACTGCAACTGACTCCTTGAAAAGGAGAGGACATGCAAATCAAAACCACCAGCCAGTACTGCACAACCCAGTATGCCTTCTGGAAACTGCCAGGTCACGAGTGAAAGGCTGGTCCAGCGTTAACGCCTTCCAATTCTGAAAAATTTGAAGTAAATTTAGAGCAGCAAAGTGAGCCCATTCAGGGGTTCCTGCTTCGGTGCTCTGTGATCAGCCAGTACAAACGTTTAGTTTCTCGATTATCCAGTTCTTCTCTCTGTCCAGAGAAGACCAACAGGGTAAGGTTTTGCGGGGGGTTCGTTCCCCCATCTAGAGCAGAGCTCAGCAAACATGCTGGGTAGCAGGCTGGGGTTAATGAAACTGCAGTACAAGTCAAACACTATCTCCTAAAAGATTGAAAAAATATTTTTAAACAAAATAATGTGACATATTTACATAACTCCTTAAGTGCAAACTCTTGTCACAATTCACGTAGTTGAGCTCAATTTAGACTCACTGTACAAGAAGGTGCTCTTTCTTTAATGAAAGAAGAACTCTACTCTGTATTCCTGATTCAGTAACGTGTCCCTTGTGCAAGGCAGTAAATTTCCTGTTTCTTCCCAATGTACTTCCAAAAGCAAAACCAAAATCAAGCCATCCTCTTCCCCGCTTCCCGTCCCGGTTACCGCACGACGAGGCAGGAGACACAGAGCTTAGAGGGGCCAATGCAATCATCATGGCAGAAGGCACCGCAGCCCTTGCACATGATCATGGCTTTCAACCTGCAGTAACATTTGGAAGGGGAATCCTCCATGCTGTTGTCTTCAGCGAAGGCTTGAACGGGGATGGTCTGACTGTGGTTGCCAGAGTTCATAGCTTGGCTGGTGGGAATGGTGGTTACAGTCACAGAAAAGGACATGACGTTCCCCATGCTGCTAGACAACTGATTGCATTCAGACAGCCCAGTCATAAGAGACCCTTGGTTCACATCCGGGGAGGTGGAGACATTTATTGTGCCACTGTAACTGGGCCCAATGAGCTGTGCTGCAGCATTTCCAGATAGCTTTGGAGGGTGCGAAGGAGAAAGCAGCGGAGGCTGCTGCTGCGCAGAGTCCAGGGACGGTACAGAAGTGCTGAAAAGCTCCGGATTGCTGTGCATTTTCCCCCTCATTGCATGTGCCATTTGCTCTTGAGCGGCTTGAATAAAATCTCGTGCTAGCGTAGTTCCGTCAAATGCCTGAACGTTCTCCTTGTTGACTGCTGCTTGCTGAGACGTGGCTGCTTCTGTCTTTACACCCTTTTTAGCAAGGCTGCTGTAATCCGAAGAATTTATGCTATGTGATACCTGTTCTTTCTCACACTGACCAGAAACCTGGGCAGCCTGGGGCTCCTCTTTTACACTGATATGTTCACGTTCATCACCAGTACTCTCATCATCTGCATCTCCTTCATCACTGCTGCTGCCGTGGCCAGCTATCTCCTCACATTCCCCAAATTCTGTTTTTGGAGCATCAGCAGGACTGTTCAGACACAAGCGGTTTTCAGGGTTCAAGGAGAAGCCTCTCCTCAAACTCTCTGAACCACGACCATAGGTGGAAATGTTGAGCAGATAATGACCAGACATAGCAGGCTTGGATGTCCTTCTGCCCATGAAACCCAGCATAAATCTCTGGCTGGTGGAGCTGTTTTCTAACTGGAAACCTGAGTGAGTGAGGTTCAGTTGTGAAGGCTGAAGGACTGGCAACAAATTCTGCCTCTGGACCCTCTTGATAAGAGTCTGAAGGATCTGCTCTTGGGTGGTTTTGCTGAGTGCCTCGTGGCACTGGTGCTGGTCAAGGCTGGGGTCCTTTCCCGAGGGGAGTGGAAGGGTCCTTGGAATGTGAGGCAGAGGCCTGTTCTGGCAAAAGATCTTCCCAAGCTGTTGTGTGGGTAAACTCGATTGTCTTTCACTACCCTCGGCTCCAGTGCCCTTCCCTGCTACACTCGTAGCACTGGATGCTGCTGCCGCCCCTTTTTCTTCATGAGAAACTAATGGGACAGTTTTCATTTCTGCTTTGGTGAGGGGCTTCGGCAGGATTTGCTCCAGAGGGACATTCTTGCCTTGAAGAAGTTGGGTGACCAAAGGGTTGTTAGCGGGAATACTGGAGCTTGGTTTTGGGAGGGCACCGCTTGAGCTTGAACTTGCATGAGTTTTAAGGCTAGGTGCTGCTGACAAAGTGTTAGAGGGTGGGACAGATGTCGCAGATGTTACCACACCTCCAGCCTGGGCTTCCGAGCTCGTGGATGTTAGTGACGACATCAGAGGGGAAGGAGATTTGCTTTTAGAAACACCTAAGCTGGTCCCTCCTAAGGCCGTAGGTGCTACCTTAGTTACATCTGCTGTGGGCACAGTGACGCAGACTGTTCCATCCCTGACAGCTGCTGCCCCACAGGCCTGGCTTGGACCTGCCGGAGCAGAAGGTGCTTTCTCTTGTTTGTCACTGCTACCAGCATGCGGGGAGCCTGAAACCTGATTTACAGTCATACTGGGGGGGCTCTGTTTTATTCTGTTGATTTTCTCCAATGCCGATACCGTGGAGGAGGAGGAGCTGGTGCCTGTACTGCTGGCTGGAGTTCTGGATTGCAGTGTGGAAGTTTGCTGTAGTTGTGCTCCAGAAGGATTGTGAGGTGGTGCCTGGTCTGTGGCCTGGGTCTCCATTTGGGTATGGGTCCCTGGACAATGGGGAAGAAACCTTCTCGAACTTCCCCCGCTTCCAGTTCCTGCCAGTTCCAGTGCATTTCCTCGAATTCCAGTTTCGTTGGTTCTGCTTGTTGCTGCGTTACTCTTCTCTCCTCCGCCGCCCGGTGGGCCCCCACCACCGCCCGGTCCAGGCCCTGGGACAGCCCCCCCCGTCGAGGCGGCAGCGGCGGCGGCGGCGGCAGCCGCTGCCCTCTGAGCCTTGGCTTGCTGGGCTTTTGCCTTGATGTCTGCCAAAGTTCTGGCCCCTGTTCTTCCCGGACTGGTGAGTGAGATTGGGAAACGTGCCCTGGGAGAGACCTGGCTCGCAGGAAATGGCATTGGGGAGATTCTGGAAACAGGAATCTGAAACAGAGGAGAAAAGCACAACTGAGATATGGGGAACATTCAGCCCACATATTTAAGTGTTTACAGTTGTAGTCTTAGAGAAATAGTTGTCGTTTTGGAGAAATCCCTTATCTCCCTCACTTGAGAGAAATAATAAAAGACGTGTATGATCCTTTGATGCCTGGCACACCTATTTCAAGCCTATTACAAACTTAGTGGCTCAGACTGGAAGCTCATCCCTTGCAGTTGCAGGCTAATACATCGTACGCCATTACGCAAAAGCCTATCGAGCTCCCTCAGAAAAAACTGTAAGGTTCTTCCAGAACTCAACACCCATCATCCCTTATTCTAAGTTTCATGCTTTATTCACACGTAATTTATATCCTTTTAAAGGCTTGTGTCAACATTCTGCTTGATTTTGCATTGCTCTTCTACCCCTGCATATTTACACTTGCCTCCTCAGGGTCTTTATACAAAGTAATAATAATCTCTCTCCTGTGTATCTGTAGATAAAATGCCAATATTTTAGTCCTTTCTTCTAAAATAGGTTCTCCACTCCCCTCGCCATTCCGGTTTACTTCCTGCAAGTTTGTTCTTTCTAGAATGTAAGTGACAAGAACAGTGCACTAATGTTGGTGCTCTTCTGTCTCCATTGCAAAGATTTAAGCGAGTATATTTTAAGGTTACATTTGTTTTCATGTATCTGCAATACCTCGCTGCCTCCCACTCATCTTCTGATTAGCCAGTTCACCGCTTCTTTCTTTTTTGAGGAACGACATGTCTTCTACCTTACAGGGGAAGATATTTTCAGTCGCCCTTAGATTCACTCTATTATTAAATTAAACCCCTTGTTCATCACACTGGAAGGTCAACCATTCTTCCTGTATGAGATTTCAGATCTTTTACTGACAGTTTTCCCCCAATTTTCTGTCACTAACAAATTTTATTAATGCTTTCGCACCTTTGTGCCATACTTATTAACACAGTGTGAATAATGAACCGTTTTCAAAATTTTGTGTTTGTATACTTCCTAGTATAAAAGAATCTTAACAGGAGAGTAGAATTCTTAGGACCTACAGAAATACTGTAATTAAGCAGTTTTCCATTTACAACTTCTGCCTAAGGCCCCAAACCAGGGAGCTGAACTTTAACCAGAGCAAATCCTGGGAGAAAAAAGCACAGGCCCTATTCTACAGAAACCAAACTTTTCTATTCACACAGTCACACATGACTGTAAAAAATTTTTCTGCGCTGGTTCATCCATTTACTATCTACTGTTGAGCACGGCATCACTGAAGAAAGAATCAGTGTTACCCGTACACACGCAATCTTGTAATCATTTATCCGAAAGAGCATCAAATGTCTGAACGGAGAGTGTTTATCACTTGCCGACGGGGTATTTCCTGGCAGTTCAGTAGTAGGTGTGCGGTCCTATGACCTGGCTCTCAAACGCAAGAGAACTGCGTTGTCCAGGCCAAAGTCTGGAACATTTCTTTCATGCTTCCTTCCATCTGCCCTATCCTAGTGGTGATTTATTGCCCGTTTCCTTTCCTGTGTAGGTTCTTGCTAAGACTCAGCAGCTGAAGGGCTTTTGGAATTGAGATGTTCCCTAAAATAGTCTCTCCCTGCTACCTAGTCTGACCCTACACTGCATTCAGCTGGTATAAATGAGAACTGCATTATTTCTAGGTGGTCTTTTTGTAACCACAGGTAAATAATTTAGCTTCTGGACTCGATATAACGGAGGAAGCTGCTGATAGCATTCTTTCTGGACCTGTTACTGTACTGCTGGGGACACTCACGTGCCTGCAATGTTCTGTGCACTCCTGAGCTACACCTTGCTTTGTTACTACAGTCTCGCAGCTCTCCCCAGTTTCCACCGTGAGCTACAGTACTCCCTGTTATACTCAGTCTTGGGCTTTCACACAATTGTTCGAGCTTCTGCCCAAGAGATCTTTTAACAGATGCGTGTGTACGAGAGATGCTTAACTGAAGTTACGTTGATCAGCCAGCCAGCAGACTCCCTTTAGCAAACAGCTGAGCCTTTACATTTTTGGATCAAATATTTCCATCACTAAAATAAGCAGGTAATGTAATTTACATACATAACTAGAACTGACAAAGCATTTCTGTGAGAGCCACCAGCTGAACTGACCCACGTAAGGCTGGATCTGTCTTCACTTCTCTTTACCTTGAGTGGGGGTACCCGTGGCACCGGGGTCCCCGCTGCAGGAAAGGACTGTGGCTGGGTCCGAAATGCCTGGTGGTGCTGACAGTTCTCCATGATGCGTGGCTTTTTTTCAGGAGTGGTTAGAGCTTCTTCACGACTCTCTGACTTCCTCTTACGGGCTTCAACACTGACTTCCATGTCTTCATTTACAGGGGACTTCTTTTCTGGTGTTTCTGGAGTAATCACTGGACTTTTCACATTTGCTACTACTTCACCTGCCTCGGGGCTCTTTGGTTTACTCGGGGCCAAAACTGAGGTACTGACAGTCTCTTTCGCTAGCACTTCCTTGGATGCAGCGTGCTTTCTCTCTTCTCCTGGCTTTTGATTAGCGGCAGTTTGTGGTTTCTCTTGAATGGATTCTCCTTGGACTCTCTCTTTCACAGGGAGAGAATGGTCGCTGGGTTTCACTGCACACCCATCCGGGGAAACCGAGGCCTCTGCAGGTTTGGCTGGTTTTGGCTGCGTGTCCTCTCTTCTTTCCTCTCCTCCTTTTTTCATCGCTGGTGCTTCCTGGACTGCTTGTGCTTTAGACTCTAACGGAGAAGTAATCTCCTCTTTGAGTGGTGCCAGAGAGGCTGGCGTGCATTTTGGCTGTTCAGCTGCTGGATTTTCAGTCTCTGTCTCGGCAGGGCTGGTGTTTGCTGTCAGTCTCTTGGACTCTTCAGGACTTAGTCCAGAACTATCAATAAAAAAAGAACTGTTATTTTGCAAAACATTCTTGCAAAAAGCATACTATCCTTAGAAAACTGAGAGGAGATTCTCTACATACCACACCCTAAATAAATATGTCTCACACACCTCATTCCACGCCACAATCTGAAAATCTTCCATACTATTAGTACTTCCACATGAAACGGAACTTAATAGCAAAGTTTAAAACCAACTAAATGAAATACACGGAACACGGATTAGATCTAGTCCTCTATCCAGATACCAATTTTCCAGGCTGCAAATCAAATGAATTTGGCCAACAGCAAGTATTCCCTTCATTAGCCACCACAGACATATCTCTGCAGCATGCGAACAACCCCACACAGCTTGCATCTGACTTAAGCTCATATGGTGACATTTGCGGAAAGGGACACTGAAAAGTGTCCCACCATTTTTTCCAGGGGAACACGGCTAGTGCCAGAACCACTGACGTACCCTCAGCTTAGAACTGGCATTGCTGCCTTTCTCCGCAATCAAAAAGCTGGGAGTATTTCCCTGTATTACTCATCCATCTTTATTTGTGAAAGAAATGAACAAGTTCGGAATCTAATTCCCAGAGTGATGTCCGATTTAGGATTAACTTCATGCATCCCTCTTAACGAAATATCAAATTTGTTTTTTTTGCCCAAACACGAACCCATAAAGTCTGACGAAGCCAGCCTGATGAATCTATGGGACTGATTTCTACCAGGCAAGTTCTTAGGAGCTAGAGAGAACTGAAGTCCTACTGTTGTTTGTGCATGTCACCTCCACACTGTCCTGCTGTCCCCTGTCCCCCTAAAGCTTCAAGAATACGGCTGTCACCTTTTATCTTCCAGCACAGAGCTCCATGCATGTTTACGTCCTGGTTTTCAACACTAAGAGAACTGGATAAGTTAGCTGAGTAAAGCTCTTTGCGAATGCCACTAGATCACTTGCGTTCCCAACCTGGCGTATTCCTTCACTTAGTACTGCAGCCTGCTGTATGTACACGCACACACAGCGGCCTCCTACTCACCCACGAAACCCCAAACTATCAGACCACAGAATGACAAAAACAGGGCTTGCCATAATCCAAACGCTCTAGAGGGTTAAAACATCATAGGCAAATGGGAGGAAAACTGGCTGACAGTCCAAGGACAAGCATAAAAGCTAACTGTCAAGATGCAGGATAAGAAATTCCTTATTAGTTATTTATATGCATCCGTTTGTTTTCAAGTTTCTTAGTATAGTTATTCGCACAGAAACCTGAGATCGTCTCCATAGTCCAAAAGGATGGTAAAATCTTGAAGCAAAACCAAACACAGAATAAAAGGCTTGCAGCCGTGGGATTTTAACCGAATACGTGTCTGATTGAAGATGTGGGGAAACACACAAGATTTCACGTAGCAGGTGACTTACTGCAAGGCAGAGTATGCTCAACCACCACACCGTGGATCTCCAGAATCCTGACACTAGAAGAACCCCAAGAGGGGAGTGTCTCAAAGTGTCGTACTAAGGAGTGGGAAAAGTAAAGATGTAAAGTCTAAAGGACATCCTCGCCTAAGGAAAACAGTACTACACTGATTAAAGCATTAGGAGTCATGACAGCAAACGCATCGCTTCTGACCTAGATCACTCAGGCAATTTCTCAGTTCCATGGCAGCGAGACGAAGCTAGAGACCTTTTTCAGGTTTCAGGACTAATGAAAAGTAATGTTTATTGATGGACAGCACGCTACAAATGCAGCAACAGGTACATCTGGACTGGCAATGCGGGATTAAAAAAGACAGTTGAATGTCTTACCTCTGACCATAGTAGCTCTCAAAAAAACGTTCCTTCCACAGCTCGACCTTCTTTTCCTTTTCTATTTCTTGCCGTATTCTTAGCTGCATTTCTGGTGTAAACTCACCTGCAAAATGCAATAAAGGGTGTTTTCAGAAAAAGCTGTGAATAAAATGAATCAGGATAACCACAGGAGCCTTCAGGCTTGCAGGTGAGAGTGCGATCGCACAGAAGTCCCCTTCACCACTTGTGACACTGTAGCCCTGCCTGTGGTACTTCAGCGTTTCTCCTGAGCTGCCAGGTGTTTCTCTGCCGCCTGCTCCTTGCAGTGGATGGGCAACAGCTTTATGCCTGACAGACACAACTCCTTTCCCTGTCAGCGTCCACTCTGGCTGCCAATAGATGCTTTATGTGAAATAGCGCTTATTAAATGAATACAAATCTATACACAAATGTATGTTGTATGTACGCAGGCACTACGTAACTGCCATTTTTTGAAGGATCTGAAGATATTGCCTATGCAGATGGCAAAGCAATATGGATGGCACCTTGAAACGACAGTCGTGGATGGCTGTGGTGAAACATGCATGCAAGAACAAAGACTTCTTGCCCAGCACAAATGACAGAAAATATTTCTGGTGACGGATGCTATTCTGTCACAGGCAGGTGGGGAATCAAAAAAAACCCTCTCACACATCTGAAGTGCACTTTTCACACCTAGACCTATTGCGGTTTGTAAGAAATGTTTCCTAATGTCAAGTCTAAGGTTTGTAAGACCATATGTTAATATTTTAAGAGTTCATCATTAGACAACAAGAAAGCTTGTTTTTTTGACAGAGCTGCAGTGCTTTGATGATAGACATGTGACCTTAAGCCTCAAGACTTCACTCATTCTCAAGGTTTATCTAGTTCACACCATTTTGCTTGTGCCCTTTAGCACTGGAGGAAAGTTACTAGAATCAGATCTTTCCCAACACTGCAGTTACCAAAGAGAGGGGATTCCTTAAAGAGATTAACAGAAATTGGATACTTCCATCACTGCACAGTTTTTTTCTCAAAAATTTTCTCCCATCAAATAAGGGGATCGTTAGAAATTCTTGCTGAGTTTGTTCTCCATGCAGTTATCAAAATGTGTCCGAAGGAAGCCAAGAGTGCCCCTTTTTAGTACACTGTTACTTGTCAGGATTAAATCAGCAGAGTCATCTTTTTATTGCAGCAAGTACAGAGGGCCCAAAACAGAATCTCTGGTACATCAACTTTCTTTTCTATTTCTGTATAAACTTGGTCAGGTAAATAAATACAGAGAGTCTGCTGCATTGAAAACAGTGGAACGCCTGCCTTTACTTAGAGTAATTTAGCAACAGGGTACAAAATTCATTCATTTGAAACAGTCTCTGTTGTCGCAGTGACTTCTTGGATTTTCATTGCTGTGGTTATGCCACCTTTGTCTCCCAGTTGGGAGAATTCAACTAAAAGCATACATCTGCATCAGCCTAGGCTTGCACTGAGCACAAAGCAGAGTGAAAACCTACAGTCAAGTAGAAGCAATTTACTTATGAACATCTACCTGAAGGTCGATGGGGACCTTGGGAGGTCTCCAGTCCAACCTCCAGCTCAGAGCAGGGGCAGCTTGGCCTCCACCAGGTCGCTCAGGGCCCTGGCCAGTTGGGTCTTGAAAACCTCCAAGGATGGAGGTGGCACAACCTCTCTGGGCTGCTGCTCCACTGCTGGACTGTCCTCATGGGGAAAAAGCTTTTCCTTATGCCCCATCTGACTCATGCCTGTTTTCTCTCATCCTCCTGCCATGCACCACTGTGACAAGCCTGGCTCCATCTTCCTGATGGCCTCCCTGTAGGTACAAGGGGGCTGCTATCAGGTCACCCCTCCCCAGCCTGTATTGCTGCCAGGGGCTCTTCCTTCCCAGGGGCAGGATCCTGCTTCGGTCCCACTGGATGGCAGCCCCGCCCTCGAGCATATTGACTGGTCCCTCCAGTTTGGTGCCCTCCACAAACTCCCCCAGGGTAACTGATAAAGAAGGCAAATGGCACAGGTCCCCGGACAGGCCCCTGCAGGCTCCACTTGTCACCAGCCTCCAGCCGTGAACCACGACTCCGAGCTTGACCGTCTAACCAGCTATTCACCCATCTGGTTGTCCACCCACCTAGACCCTAGTGTCCCAGCTTGGATACGAGAGTACTGTGGGAGACAGCTATCAAAAGCTTTGCTTCGGCTGAGGTAAAGGACGCCCACTGCTCTCCCCTTGTTCACAAATTCAGTCACTTTTAATGCAGTCAAGCTATTCAGGCATGATTTACCTGTGGTAAAACCATGCTGACTGTTTCCAATCACCTTCTTCATGTGCCCAGGGATGTGCTCCAAGAGGGCTCGCTCCATGACTTTCCCAATGATGACACTGAGGCTGACCAGGCCTGCATATGTTAAATAATACTGTGGGTGACCCCAAACAGCATTGCTATGAATCGTCAATACCTTGAAGAGTAGCTGAAGAAAGCCTACAGGACTGCTCTGCCCACAGTGGCATCATGCTTTAATACTTGAGCAGAGATACAGTGCTCAGTGAGAACGTCAGTGGAGATCTCCAGACTTCACTCTCAGTGTTGCAAGCTTTACCACCAGAGCAGGTTCTACAGCAGTTTTACTCCGGTGAGAAAGTCTTTGCGTAAATGTAGCTGCACCCTCTAGATGTGTAGACATGAACGGACAAAAGGTCTTCTGACAAGCGCTAAAGGGAAAACACTAAATGATGGTGGCTAAAACTGGGGGTGGTTTTAACAATTAAACAGATGAGACAGCTGAGTTCTGCACCTTCCTGTTTACTGGCATAGATACATCCAGAATCTACAAAATATAAAGGGTTATTCATACCGAATTGCATACATTTTCTATGGAAAGCCTCTTAAAAGTCAATCACCTGGGCATGAGTAAATGATACCCCCTTCTTCTTAAAGTGAGTCACAATTGGTGCTATAGTCTTTATAAAAGCTCTGGTGACAGGCTGCATGGTTCAATTCTGTAGAGGAAACGGTCCCTCCCCGCAGTGAGTGAGCGCACTTCTGATGATGTGATTTGATCAAATCACAGATTTACGCACCTCTAAGTTCAAGATGCAAATGATTGTTGAAGGTGCAGGAGTCCTATAGATTAGTAAAGTCAGCACTTCATGTTATATAAAAAATTACGGCTCAAAGGACTGACCATACCAACTGTGGCTAGACGACTTCGCTGGTGACAAAATGCATTACTCTGGAAATATAATTTACCTTCTCTACTGAGCTTAGCAGTGGGCTGTATTTAGCTACCACAACTTGAGACTAACACAGCTCTACTGTCATTTCAACAAGATTTTAAACACATTTTTCCTTCTTTTCTCACCTCTTCCAGAGACTTGCTCACTTTTCCACATGTTAAGTTCAAAAGAGAACTCCTTACTGCAGCCCCCTCTATGACTTTGAGATTACACAGTTCTGGGCTTGCATTTGCTCTCATGGGCTGCATTGACTACAGCTGTCTACCTAGTAAGTCACGCCAGTGCTTCAACTTCTCTGTAAAATATCTTTTACACACTCCCTGAAACATTCACTAGCTGAAAGCCTTCCAGCGTTTTGCTTCGTTGTCTGGGGAAGTTTTACCTTCTGACAACCTCTCCTTCCAGCCTTGGGCAGCTGAAGTGAAGAACTCGTTGTTGAGCGCAGAGCCACTCAGCTTCATCAAACCATCCGCCCCAACCTGGAATACATGACAAACCAAATGGTATTAACTAGCTGGAAAGACAAATGTCACACGTTGTCACATGGGATCTGAAAACAGAGCAAGAGTCCCAACTTTGCCACAAATCTCTCTGGAATCTGCCTTTAACTCACTCAGAAGAAAATAAACAGCCTTCTTAAGGCTGTGCTTAGCCAAGTCTGGGATCTAGGAGGCTGTGGTACATTTTCCTCATCCTTGCTTTAGCCCAATCCTCTTATAGTCCTGCTGCGGCACAAACACACATGAGCAGCAGATGGTACAGGTGGCAAGGAGAAGCACAAGGACACAGAACAGCATAGCCTCTGAAAAGCTTCTTCAGATGCCTTTCGCCCTGCAAAATGAATGCAAGATATCGCCTGAACTACCATCCAAAGCGACAGCTCTGCTGTCTTCTAGTGAACATAAAAAAGTGCGTGAAGGAAAAGCAAGGACATAAAAGGTATCACATAAAAGTAACTTTGGAATGTATATATCATAACATGGATGCTTCAGGAAAAACAGGGACAGATGGAGCTCAAAACCCCTTCTGTCTTTGAAATATGGTTAACCAAATAGGGCAGTCATGCTACAGAGTAGGACATAAATGAGAAAGCATGAGGCTAAGACTGGAACATAGCATGGTGGGAAATTATAACTAGGGTAATAAAACATGTGTGAGGTTTGCTTTTGCTCTTTATTCCACAGAAGTAAATGTGGAATTTCTCTACCAGAAACACAAAAATACACATATCATTCAGTAAGTCGCAAACACTTGCAGTGGGCAAAACTGATGTGCTTCCATTTCTTGCACAAATAATACATCAGAACAAACAAGCAAAATCCAACTGTCCAAACGTAGGATACATCCGATTACACTGGGAGATCTGTGCAGCAAACATTCAACAGTGCAGGATTTGATAAGGAGAAACACTGCTCTTCCTGAGGCAGCATTTGTGATGCAGGTAATTAAAATGATGGAATTGACCTAATAGAAGGTTTTGTAGGTAAGATTTAGTTAAAGAGTTTTAAGTTTTAAGTTAGGAGCAGCCGTTATAGGGATTACAAAAGCAGAGATTTATTTTCTAGTCCAAATCTCTACTGATCGACCACAGGGAGCAGAATTCACAAGACTATCCTCTACTGCACATACGGTACTGCCTGTTCCTTGTGTTGGAGGACAGACAACTACTGCAGGGCTGACTGGGTCCTGCCTCAAAGCGCCCACTTTCTCTTCTACAGAAGCACCAGCTGCAATAGCTCAGACTGAGTCACTACCAAGCAAAACACAACAGATATGTGACCTTTCACAATTGGCATGTCCAACGCCTTCACCTCTTCTCCTGTTTACTACAGCAAAGTCTGACGTTTCATAAAGCACACATCACCACTTGATGTGGTGGGCTGCTCTAGGAAATTTACTACAGTGAAATGTAAAATTTGTCCTCTCAGGAGCCAAGCAATATTATTGAATTAGTCAAAATTTGTTCTCAGTCAAATTCTAATTCAATTTAAGGACAATTAAACTTAAAAGTCAGGACGGAAATGTCTTACCATCTGCTGTGAGGTTCTTGCCAGTAAACTCCAGCTGCAAACTCCATCACATCATATTTTGACACATACCTAATTATTACAAAGGCCACAGGACTTATAAAACAATTCCTTCAAATATTTATTGGATCAACCTTGGACTAACAAGTCCCCGATGAATGCTGGTTGAAGATTAGAATTTATGAGACAACACAAAATGTTAGAACTCCTCCTAACTCTGAACGAACACTATCTGTTCAGCAAAGCATCCTCTGTAAAGCAGACCACAGTGCAGCCGCCAGAGCCATACGCATTATTAACATTGTGAGAACCAAAAGAGCAGCACAGCTGTGAAGATGGATATAACTTCACGAAACATGGACATCTGTGCTGTGAGTGTCTACGTCTAAGCTGGTGTCCCTTCACAGTTTATAGTGATCGAGTCAACTGAGTGTATAGAGGTGGGGATTCAGTTCATCTCGTCCTGAAGTAGACCCCTCTATTTGGTCACAGGCTCTTGATTGTACCAACTGGATTTCCACTTCCTATAGAAGGAGCCCAGAGTAACTAGCTGAGATGTAGACTCCTGGGAGGTGACCGAGGTGTGTAAAGCCAGGCACCTGGTACTAATCTGAACACCACACAGAAAAGTATCTTCAACGGACTTGCAGATCTGAGACAGGACATACAAAAGATTTCCATCTGGAGTGGCATCTTGAAGCCAGCTTTGATATCTAAAGAACATTTAAAATGGCTCCAGGCACATACGTTAAGGCATCTGAATTAACACCCCTACAACTGAAGTGGAAGCATAGTGCAGAATCCCACTTTGCTCTGAAGCTCCCAGCTGGTTGGGGTAGGAATGCTGAAGATAAACATAACATACGAATAAGGTAGAATCATAGAATCATAGAATCGTTTAGGTTGGAAAAGACCTTTAAGATCATCGAGTCCAACTGGTAACCTAGCACTGCCAAGTCCACCACTAAACCATGTCCCTAAGCGCCTCATCTACACGTCTTCTAAATACTTCCAGGGATGGTGACTCCACCACTTCCCTGGGCAGCCTGGTCCAAGGTAAAAGGAAGGAAGCGTCCTTGTTCTATCTACAACTCTTCTGGTATTGAGCATAAACAGGTTGAACTTCACTTCCTCAGCTCATTGTTTTTCCCTCCTTTTACATGCAAGTGCAACATTCGTTCTTTTCTCGTCTCTTGGTATCATCCCTGCCTTCCACAAGCTGCTGAAGAAAACTGCTATAATGCTGAGATTGCTTCAGGCAGTTCTTTTAGGTACCCCTTTGGATGAAAATCACCAGATCCCGCTGAGTTGAAATAACTCATCAAAAAAGTCTCTTAGCTGTTCTTTCAGTACTGAAGGCTGAGTTCTTACCCTCTTGTCACTCATGTTAATTGTTCCAGTTATCACCAACTGTTTAGTGAAGAGTTCAGTGAAAACCTTCACCGTTTCTTCTGTGCCACTCCCAGAGCAAATGAACCCATTCCTCCCCACTGAGTACTTTTCTGCTTTTCCAAATTCCTCTCTTCACACACAAAGAGATCTTAGACACACAATCCATAAAAATAAACTGCCTTCAAGACTGACTCACACTGCACGCTTGGTACCTTTAATCTAGCGTGTGTTTCAGGTCAGGACACAAGCTCTCTGGAGCAAGTCAGGTCTACTCTGCGATCTGGATGGTGTGAATATGCAACAGAAAACTCATTCAGTTTTCACTTTACCAAATTCAGCATTTGACAGCAGTGACACAAGGTCATAAGAAACAGAAGAGGCTGGAACTAAATGGCAGCATCTGTTTAGCTATTCTGTGGGAAGGCACCAGTCTAAAAGGCTGCAGGGTTAATCCTGTATTGAAGAGTCCAGGAGAGGACAGGAGAGAGGAAGATGCTGAAACCGCTGCATTCCCATCACTCCTGGCCCTCTTCAAGTCCAGCATAACAGAAACATTGCTCTTGCTGTAGCTGGGAATATGGAGTTGATTAAACAGAATTAAGCCACTGGTTTATCAAACCTGAATTATTTTTTTCTGGTAGCAATGAATACCCAAACAAATCCCTGAATAATTTTCGATTTTTTTTTACACTGGGCACAAAAGAAAAAGTCTATCCCATTAGACATAAACACAGTATTTGGGTGTCTAGTCTGAATTACTTCTGGAGATGCTCCCTACTGACACCTAAGAGCCTAGCTTCTCTCCACAACAGAAACCACGACATACCTGCCTGTCCACCTCCGGCAGCAGCAGCAGCAGGCGCTGCTGGCATTCTGTAGGCAGAACAGAGAACGTATGCTTGTTGATCAGCGCCCGCAGGTTTGTGTTCACGAGGATGGAGTCGGGAGTTTCCACATCAATTTCAGCACACTTTGTTCTCTTCAGCTGCCCTGCAATGAACCACAAAGATGTAAGTAACATCTTACCTAAGAGAGGATTAAAGGCTCCTTTGGAGTTCACTGTACCTGAGATTTTCAAAATGCCACCTTAGTAATCCATTTCAAACCTTGACTTGAAATATATGTTTTACCCTTGCACACACAGTTAAAAACAAAATGTGGGAGGTCTTTTCCAGCCCCGCAAATTTCCATACCTAATATATTGTAGCCTGCATCAGTTCACCTAACTTTTGTAGGAATCCTGGCTATCTGGGGACTGGCAAGGAATCTTTTTCAGGAGGGTTTCTAGAACTGCTTTTAGCCACGTCAATTTTCTATTTTAAGCCTCTAGTTAAGGTTAGTTTGTTCATCAGGATTGCTTCTTGGACCTTCCTACTTTGTTCTCAGCAAAAGCATTTCAGAAGAATTCATCAGCTCATTGTGCTTGCGTAGAAACCACAACACTAGACAAAGCCGTAAAAATGAGTAACTACTCTCTTTTCTTTTCTGTCTTTGAAAGCCAGCAAGTCCAGCATTAACCACAGCCAGCTTCATGTATGTCCTGCAAATTCAGGGAAGAGTAACGAAGAAAGCATTTGTGCTGTGTACTCCATTTTGTTTGGATTCATCCACTGTCTATTACTGGCAAAATACCATGTGTTTTGAAGCTTAGATTAAAAGTACATTATTAGCAAAAAGGGTAATATTAAGACAGACCCTGCTTCCCCTGACTTCAGGGATGACAGCAATTATTTTTAAGGTAACAGTACCTAACAAAATAAATGCCACAGAGGCTTGTTTCATTAGGGCAAGTTTGCTCTATTAGAAGTCATTCAGAAAATGGCTCTGCAGGTTTATAATCTACTTAAGTTGCAGAATTTCATAATTACAGGGTATAAATGAAACCTGCCCTGAAAAGTGTCTATCTTCACCAGTGATGAAGAAAATCTAGGATGATTGGCATAGATGGAGACCTCAGAATATCCTTAAGTTCACCGAGGTCAATTCCATCATTGGTATATGTAAAAGAAACCACAAAAGGTCAGGAGGGCTGAGAAAGACCTAACCTCAATGAACAGGAAGGAAGCCAAATAACAGTGGGGTCTGAAGTATAAAGATCTGGGAAGGAACTTCTTTTTTTTTTTTTAATGTTATCAAAATGTCTCAAGTACATTAAAAAGCCCGCTAAATAATGCAAGTCCTTTTTTTGCTTCTCAAACAGCAAGCTGCAATTTCACAAGTAGGAACCCCTGATGATAAGAAATGAGAAAAGGCTTATTTGCATATGTAAGGTTTGAATTATTTATCCTGATTCACACAGCATACTAGCAGTACCTTCCGGAGTTGACCAGAAGTCACTTTAGCATTTTACTCAATTTTGTTATTTAGGCTTTTGTTCCATCATCAGAGCAACCAAATCTCTGGAAGCAGAAAAATAAATATCTTACTTGCATGGAGCCTGTCAGATCTCTGGAATGGCTTCTTCCCCAACCCTGGCAAGGAGTTATCAAGCTTAACAGAGGGAGAGGAACTGGAGGTGGAGTTCTGAGGGCTGCTTGACTGTCCATCTGACTGCTTTCCTTCCCAAGCTGCACAGGAAATTGAAACATTTTAAACACAGGGATGTACAAAGAAATATTACATGAGACATCTGTTTGGACTGAAATAAAGATTCTTTAACATGCATACCCTAATCCCAGCAGCTCTGGGACAAGCACTTCTGGGATACTTATATTCCTTTATTCTTGTAGCACGCACTTCCCAACAGGCTGAAAGTAGAAGACCCCTTTGTAGCTATCAGACTATCACAAAATAAAGGGATGGACAGCCATTTCATTTATGGTTTGAGTCTATTTCCCAGTTAGTCCCATCTTATTTCCCGCCTATATCTAATCCAGTAATAATCTTGTTAAAACTTCCTTTCAGAGGCAGCTTTTGTTTCTGTTCAGAGTTCATTGTCAGGAAAAATCTCTTCATACTTTATGTGTACTTTCTAAATTTTAACCTACTATTGTAGCTTTTGTTCTTTTTAAGACCACCCTCAGTCATTCCTCCTCCTGTTTCAAATACTCAAGAGGTATTTTCACGTCCTCCTCCAAAGTCACAACTTAGCCAAACTAGTCAGATTTCACCACTATGATTTCTCCTTACAAATCACTGCCACCCACATTCTCTTTTGTATAGCAGTATCTTTTCTGCCGGTGGGAAGAGCTTCTTCCCTAGATTCTCCCTGCCTTCCTTTCCCTCCTCTTCTTAAGTCAGATGAATTAAGAACATAAGCTGGTCTTCTCTCCGCTCTCTTTAGGTTTATGTGTAACAACAGGTACACACTCAAGTATGTAAAGGTACTGAAGTCCCATACCTCAAAAGAGAAACTCCACAATACACGTGATTAAGTCACAAACTAAACGAATGCTGGCTCTGACTAATGACTTGCACTATTAATTCCTTCACCCAGTCTGTGCCAGCTGTGTTCCCCATCTGCCTCTCTTACTCTCCTCTCTGCCTGGTGCCTTTCCCCCTCCTTCTCTTCCTTACACTAGCTGTTCCAGTTCTGACTAAATACATCCCTGAAATTGTGGCATCAGTGTGTTGCTTTCTATCAGAATATTGTTCTCTCTCCACTTGTATGCTTAATTTACTTCTCCATCTCAATATATCCCACTGGCCCGGCTGTGAGCTATTTCTATGTACTATCGCGTGGATAGGAGGGGAAAAAAGGACTCCATGGATGCTGATGAAAAACATACAAATGCCACTCATATTGCAGTAACATTCAAAGGCTTTTACAGTAATCAGTGTTCAGTCTAACTGGGGGCTGCATAAACGTACACTGTTCCTACCCTAAATCAGTCGAATAAAGCCGTACTAAAAGCTGAGGAATATGGCTTTCCTGAGACCACATGTGAAATGAGTTCAATCCTTAACTTCTTTCTGTCCCTCACAATCTTTAAGGTAGGAAAGCTCACGTGGCTGGATGCTGGCATGGATAGATACCAACCCTTCAGGAAAGACAGGCAAGGAAGATGAGTCAAGAAGGTTGTCTCTACCCATACAAGCCTGTGGGACAACACGAGCTGAATCCAAGGGTCCTGGGGGAGCCCACCAGGGTCCCTACAAGGCCTCTCTCTACCATCTTTGCAAAGAAATGAGGATCGCGGGAGATTCCCCACAACTAAGAAAGGCAAACGTTGCACCCACCTTCAAAAAGGGCCAAACAGATAACCTCAGAAAATACAGACTGGTTAGCCCCACTTTTCTGCCTGGGAAAATCATGGAGTGACCCCTCTTGGAGCACATTTCTGGTCACACGAAGGAGATAATGATGAATGGAAGCAGTCAGCATGGACTTACCATGGGTAAATCATGCCTGACCGGCCTGGTTGCCTTCTGTGATCATATTACTGGATTTGTGGATGAGGGAAGAGAGGTGGATGCCATTTACCTTGACTTTAGCAAAGCATTTGACATTGTGTCCCACAATACTGTACGCGAGCTGGGACATTAGGGACTAGATGGGGTGGACAACCAGATGGGTGAGCAGTGGGTGAGGTGGCCAGACTTGGAGAGTCATGCTCCGTACTCTGCCTGGAGGCTGGTAATGAGTGAGTGCCTCAGGGCACCGGTCCTGATTCACATTTTTATTTGGGGGAGGCAATGAAGCACTTGCTCAAGTTTGCAGGTAACGTCAAATTTGCGAGGACCAGTCACTACGCTCAAGGGCAGAGCTGCTACCAGTGGGACCGAGCCAGGCTGGAGGAACAGGCCAGCAGGAACCCTACAAGGACAAATGCAAAGTCCTGCCCCTGGGAAGGAAGAGCCCCTGGCAGCAATACAGGCCAGGGGCAGCTCTGCTAGAAGGGACATGGGGGTCCTGGCAGACACAACCTGAACTTGTGCCCTGGCACCAAAGGCCAACAGCATCCTGGGCTGTAGGACCACAGCCAACAGATCAAGGGAAGCGATTATCCCCCTTGGCTAAGCGCTCGTTAGACCACACCTTGATTCTGTGTCCTGTTCCGGCACCTCTAATACAAGGAAGACATAAAAACCAGGACTGAGCTCAGCTGGGGGCTACCAAGATGCTCAAGGAACTGCAGTGTTTGCCCTGTGAGGAGAGGCTGAGGGACTGGAGCTTGTTCAGGCTGGAGAAGAAAAAAGGTTGAGGGAGACCTTGTAGTCACCACTCTGTTCCTACCAGGAGGCCAGCAGGAAGATGGAGCCAGGCTTGTCACAGTGGTGCAAGGCAGGAGGACAAGAAAAAACAGGCAAGAGTCAGTCAGGATATAAGGAAAAATTTTATCCCCATGAGGACAGTCTGCAATGGAGCAGCGGCCCGGAGAGATCGTGCCACCTCCATCCTTGGAGGTTTTCAAAGATCTGACTGGCCAGAGCCCTGAGCAACCTGGTGGAGGCCAAGCTGACCCCGCTCCGAGTTGGAGGTTGGACTACAGGCCTCCTTGAGGTCCCTACCAGCATGAGTGGTCCTATGATTCTAACATATTTTCAGAGTAGTACTAGAAAGGCTGGGTAAGTTGACATGCAGAATGTACAATAGCTTGCAACCGTAATGTAGCAGCAAAATATGGGGAAGTCAGAGAGAAAAACAACAGTAACAAAAATTAAATAGAGATGCTGGAAGAAAATAGTTCACCCGTGATTAAAGTGGATGTGGCAATAGTTTGGGAAGCATGAAACCAAAATAAGAAGAGAAACCGATATGCCGTGACCTCCAGCCCCAGAGGGCTGACATGCAGTGCCTGGGAAGGGCCAGACAGCAGGCCTCCAGCAGCAGGATCCTGCCCATACCCAGGGAAGACAAAAGCCTCATTAGAATCACAAAAAATAAAGACACCAAACAATACTCTTAAGTACTCTAAGTAACACGAGTTTGGATTACTTACTCCATTAATCTATTTTAATAATTATTCTTATGTTAGCTAACAATCTTACAAAATATTCTACCTGTTTCAGTCCCTCTTAGGTCTCCCCTGTTCCTACTTCCCTAAGTGAAATGCACTTCCTCCTAGGGCAGGGAGCTCAGGAGATGGGGTCCTCCAGGAACAATATCTGCCTGTTGTGCTAATGAACCATTCAGGTTTAATCCTAGTTAGCAGAGAAATTGCAAAAGGCTTTTAAACTATCATTTTATGCTAAAGACTTCATATACCTGGCACTGCATTTTCTTAAATACTGTCACGGGAAATGTGTAGTTTTCTACTGGATTAATTTTGGCTTCCTTCTCAGACCACACCAGCCCAGGTGTAAAGGGCACAAGCACAGTTTAGGACTGAATTTCAAACAAGCAAGATGATATTAACCTTTTTCCCCTTAACCTTTTTGAAAGGGTCTGAACTACAAAGCTGCCTGGGGACAACAGGCAACCTCATCAACTGTTAAATACTTACTCTGCTATTAAATGATGCATGAAATACAGCTGATAAATATGCCTGTTCCTTTCAATCGGACATACGGCGCATAGCCGCAACCTTGCATATGTCTGAACAGATGTTACAAGAAACATTCCAGCAGTATATAACCAGCAAGCCAGGGCAGATTGGTCTAGTTTTGGTTTGGATTTGTTTAGAGCTATTTGGAAAGGGAGAGTAAACAAACACATTAGAACACAAAGAATTTTATACTAAAGAAAATCAGCATGAGATGAGGAAACATCTCCAATTATGTAAAAGGCAGTAGGGAGAAGAAATCAAATAACCTGCACTGTGTGTCCATGGTGGATAGGACAGGAAATCTTGGGTGTAAACCCAAGGAAGCAAGAAAACATTCCGATTAGAGGCTAAGAAAAACATTTTACAGATAAAGTTAACAAAGTAGGAAGGGCAAGACTTGCTGGGAGTTTTTGGTGTTTGCATCGATGGCATCTCTCAGAACAGACTGAAGAAAACATCTGTCAGGAATGCATCATAGACCCTGCCCTGAGGAAAGGATGTGGACTAGATGAGCTCCCAAGGGTACTCACTCCTAGGCCTAGTTTCTGATGGCTCTGTGGAATTTCTTAACCTGATCAGTGAATTTCAGCTAAACATTCATGTAATTACACCAAGAATATGCAAGAGCAAAATGTTTTTCATACTAATATTGTCTTATTGCTGTTGTGTAATCCTCTTGGCTACTTCTACACCAGTAAACAGAACGGTGACATCGGGCATTCCCCTGGCTCTAAGAACAACTGGCACAAACTGGCCGTGTTCACATCCTTACCCTTTCTGTCTCCCCCAGGCGGGGTTGGCCACGTTCAAATTGCCTGCAGGGAATGATGTTTGGCCCGTGCTGAACGCCAAGGATTGCCTAGGAGACTGCTAGTTTGTCCTGAGCCAAAGCTATGTCAGGGAATTTAGCGGAATGGATTGACTGAGTTCCAGTTCTTGTGCCCAGTACTTTGGCAATGATTAACTCAGTAGCAGAGATGCAGCTTCTCTCTCCACATGCAGTTGTTTCTTGCTCTAAGCACAGGCTTGTTGGCTGAATGACTGACTGTTTGGAAGGGGAAGGAGTTTTGGGACTGGAATCAGGTTAATAGATGCTATAAGAATAATGAAGGCACACCCTCGTTCTGTAACGGTTTGGTATTACCCGTGTTATCAGGCTTTACGAAAAAGTCATTTTTAAGAAGACTGCAAATAGCTTAGGATTTGGGATTGGAGATGTAATTTTGTTGTGATCTGATTGCTTTCTTTCCCTTTTTTTGGGCAAGCTTCATGACTGCCAGTCTCAGCCACTCCACCTGTGAGAGAACACCTGACAAAAGTCTTTCAGAGTGAGCGTTCTTGCTGTGTCTTCCTCAACGGTTACATTTTCATGATCATCATCTTTCTGAGATAAATCAGGACCAGTCAAGTAAATCAAGGGTGAAGGATGGAAAAACAGGGTACTTATTGAGGGGGAGGGAATTTCCATCTCATAGAAGTGTCTGAGTTTGACAGCACAGCATTTTACCCATGATAATTAGTGTAACAGATGGGGTAGTAGGGCAGGGACTTCAGAAGTACATGCAGCTTAAACAGACAGGGACTGTGTACGTGTTGCAGAAGACGGTGAAGCAGGATCAGAATCAGCAGGACTGTGAAGCAGAGGAGATCATCGTTGCTTTTTGGAAGAGATCGCAGCCTCAGAAAGCCAGCCCTCTTTTCCTCTTGTACACAATGCTGCTGATCCCGCTCCTGCCTCTCCCTGCTCCATACCACATATACTAACCCTGTGTACCTAAATTCTGTTTATTTCTTAGGTCCCAACACCCCCCTCCCCATTACAGTTGCAGAAGGACTTAATGACAATGAATGACTGAGTGATAAAAGAACAGATATGATTCACTGCACAGAAACATGAAGTGATGTACAAAAAGAACTCTCCTAACCTTACGTACATACTGTTGGGCCCTAAAATAGAAAATGACAACTCAGGAAGGAGTCTCAGAATCTCAACATTTCTAGGAATATGCTTGCTCTTGGCTGGGTCAAAAAAGGCAAATTGAATGCTAGGAATTGTTAAGAAAAGATGAACAAAATATAGAATACCAAAATGATGCTATACAGACTCAGAATGTATCTGCACCCTGAGTACAGTTTTCACTCTCTATTGCAGAAAGCATATAGCTTTCCATATGAGGAATGAGAAAATACAGTAGGACTCTTCAGACTGAAAGAGACGTCTACAAAAGTCATGAGTGGCAAGAAGTTATTGAAGAAACAACAGTTGTTCATTGCCTGCCATTTCTAATTATCAAATTAGAATGAATCAAATAAAGGTATAAGGGGCCTGGCTCAAAACAAACAAAAATGAGTAGTTTTTACAATGCGGTGTTTGCCACAAGGCATTTACAAAGTCAACATTCCCACCCCCCAGGTTAGGCAAATCCACTGAAGAAAATCCCACCAAGTCCGTGAAATACAGACACCTCCTCTTGCTTTGGAGGTCCCCGAGTGCAACATGCTTATTAATTCTGGGAGAGCACTACTATGTGCCTACCCCGCTTCTACACACTTCTTCATGCACGTGCTATCAGCAGTGTTGGACACAGGTCACCAGGCCAAACGTGTTTGATTTGATAGGCCCACTGTTCTGATTTCTGCCCTAAGTATGAACAAAAGCAAATTGGTGCTCAGTGATCTTGGAGATGGTATGGAGCCACTACTGGTAATGTTTACAGATGACTTGACAAATTGTGGATTGATAAAATAATGATGGCGTTAGTCTACAAAGTCATTTACTTGTACAACATGAAAATCAGTCTATACAAACACAGAGGCATTTTTTGCATCTAAAAGAAAACAACTTGAGTCATGCATGCTTACAGAACCAGGAGCTTATAATGGAAATCAGTTACACTGAAAAGAATTTAGAGAAAACTAACTAGAAGTAACTACCAAGAATTTATGATAACTAGTGAAATGCTGCTGCTGGTAAGGGAGCTAATGCACTGTTGAATGAACAAGAGAAGGAACAAGAGAAGAGCAGTGATCTCATTAATTTCTAATGCAGCATAAATGCTGGAAACCTCCTGGGGATCTTTCAGATCAGAACATACATCTTTGGAAGAAGACATGAAAGCCACACTACAGAATGAGAGGCCACTTTGGAAAAAAATAAATAGAGAAACGCCACCTAATTTGCTTAGCCATGAGAAGTACCTGACCACAGTGTACAGGCAACTATAGGGGAAGGCACTTGTCACAGAAAGAAGCTTTTTAACCAAGATCTGGCACAGTAAGATCTATTCAAGATCTATTCTTAACTGAATGCATTCCTAATAAAATCAAAGCCAGGAAAATGGAAGCTAGACTATTTCAGAAACAAAAAGAACGCCATATGAAAAGAGTGCTTTCTTCTCTCATCCCCTAAGAACAATAAAAGGCAAGTTAAAGAGACACGACAGTAAAAGAACACATAGGAGTGTCACTGCCACGTACCAGATTTTGCAGGTGTGGAGTCACTGGCTGCCTTGACGGCCTTTAGAAGGACATGCTGGTTAGACGACACAGGCATGCCTGCTCTGCATTGCTGCTGCTGTTGCTTTTGCTGCTGCTGTTTCAAGGCCTGGGGAAGAGGACAGAAGAACATGACCAAAGAGAAATTCAAAATATTCTTAGAAATTATTAGCACACAGTACAAACCGCTTGTTTTATAGCAACCGATAGTTGGGTTCGGATTCTAACTACGTCAAAAGTTCAAAACGACTTCTGAAACACATTCAGTTCGCATGGGACACTGATGCTATTTCAATACACGACTACAAGTGGACAGGTTTCCTACCTTTGCATCTAAAGTAAAAAGTTAATGGTTGCAGAACACCTTAAGTTGTGTTCTTTCATGAAAAAAATGATCTCTAGAGAATGCAAAGAGAAAGGATTCCAAATCTGGAGTTGGTTCAAGAAGTAATTATAGAAATAACTTCAAAGTAAAAGTACCATCATGTAATTAATTTCCGTCTTCTGGAGAAGCAAGGAGCAACTTTACTGAGGACCTTCAACAGAGACGCTACCCATTAGGAAAGACTTTTTTAATTAGCAGAGTAATAAAGATTAAAACACTAAAGGGTAGAAAATAAAATCCTTTGTTTCAGGAAAGACTGTTAAGGCCACCATAACACAGCCTAAAAGGCACAAATGACTAAGACAAGGAAGTAAGAAGGCAATTTGGTTAAACTGCAGCATTTACCCAAACTTAAGTGTCTGTTTTCAAAAAATGAAATCCAAACCCAAATAAACTTAACAGCAGAATAAATTACGACAGATCAAGTATACCACGGAATTTCAAAATAGGAAGTAAGAGGAAATATGCTGCATATATACATATACATATAAGTGGGACTGTTAACTAGAGATCACCGCTATCTTTAATTAAACAAAAAAATAAACAATACAGTTAGAACCAGGAGAGAGAATAAAAATATGCAGGAACCTGCAGAATCTGCCACATGAGGAAAACAGAAGATAGACTGACTTTCAGTTTGTAAAGACACAAATGGGGGATACTGACAACGAACGGATAGAGATCATGAATGGACACATTGGATTCCTATTTTCCAATTTGTTAAATACTTCCTATTTAGCCACTTCTACCACAGGTTAAAAAAAACATTCAGCCAAACTGAAACACAGCAAAATTCAAAGTCAGTAAGAGGAAGTAGCCTCTGCAATGCACAATTAACCTCCTGTTATTGAGGTCAAAAGCTTTTTTAAAAAAAAAGGAAGATAAAAATAGAGATGTGGCATTCATATGAGTAACAAAACCCCATAAACAAGTTCAAGAAAGCTTTTACAAATTCTTCTTTGAAGATGAACTGCAGGCAACAGTGAATGTCAAGAAAGCACTAGACTATGAAGACCACTAGTATGTTCAGGGGGTTGTGTGAATCCCGTACTTCCATTATGCAAATCACTTCAAATATTTAAGGTTTTGTATATTCAGTTCCCCTATTCTGTATGCCATTTAACTGCTGCATTTTTCTCGGCTTAGGTGAAACAATTCTGCTTTTGTTCATTTTGTCACCTCAGTTCTCGGTCATGCAGTGCCTGAGGTGCCCACGCCAATGGTGGCTGAGGCATGTGTGGGAAGAGGAGGAAATGATTATTCATTAGAGACCTCTCCTTAAATTCCGTGTCAGCTTCGCACTTACATTCTCTGTTATAAACATTTGGGGGGTTCTTTAATATATCTAAATTGATATTGAGTCCTGTCATAATCACAGAATAATTCTGGTAGGAAAGGACCTCGGGAGGTCTCCAGTCCAACCTCCAGCTCAGAGCAGGGGCAGCTTGGCTTCCACCAGGTCGCTCAGGGCTCTGGCCAGTCGGGTCTTGGAAAACTCCAAGTATGAAGATGGCGCAACCTCTCCGGGCCCCTGCTCCACTGCTGGACTGTCCTTGCGGGGAAAAAGCTTTTCCTTATGTCCTGGTTTCCCTTATACCATTCAACTTACGCCCATTGTTCCTCACCGCCCCACTTCCTTCACCATAGCGTGACGAGGCTGGCTCTGTCTTCTCAATAACCTCCTTGTAAGTACTGGGCCGGGGGGAGGAAGGGGAGAGGCCCAGCTCCCCCGTAACACCCTATAACAGGCCCAGCTCCCCCATAACACCCTATAACAGGCCCAGCTCCCCCATAACACCCTATAACAGGCCCAGCTCCCCCATAACACCCTATAACAGGCCCAGCTCCCCCATAACACCCTATAACAGGCCCAGCTCCCCCATAACACCCCACACCAGGCCCAGCACCCCTCAGCTCCCCCGTACCAGGCCCAGCTCCCCATAACACCCCACACCAGGCCCAGCACCCCTCAGCTCCCCCGTACCAGGCCCAGCTCCCCATAACACCCCACACCAGGCCCAGCACCCCTCAGCTCCCCCGTACCAGGCCCAGCTCCCCATAACACCCCACACCAGGCCCAGCACCCCTCAGCTCCCCCGTACCAGGCCCAGCTCCCCATAACACCCCACACCAGGCCCAGCACCCCTCAGCTCCCCCGTACCAGGCCCAGCTCCCCATAACACCCCACACCAGGCCCAGCACCCCTCAGCTCCCCCGTACCAGGCCCAGCTCCCCATAACACCCCACACCAGGCCCAGCACCCCTCAGCTCCCCCGTACCAGGCCCAGCTCCCCATAACACCCCACACCAGGCCCAGCACCCCTCAGCTCCCCCGTACCAGGCCCAGCTCCCCATAACACCCCACACCAGGCCCAGCACCCCTCAGCTCCCCCATACCAGGCCCAGCTCCCCATAACACCCCACACCAGGCCCAGCTCCCCTCAGCTCCAGCCACGCAAGGCCCCACTCTGCCGACCCACCTCTTGTCAGGAACCAGCCAATCAGGAAAGAGCTAGCTACCCCACACCCACCAATCAGGCGGCGGCTTCCAGGCACCGCGGCTGTGGAAGCCTCTGGAGGCGGCAGAGGCGCTCTCAGAGGGTCTCTCCACAGACCCTGGCACACAGCAAACCCCTCGGCCAGCGCCAGCCCACCAGCTCTCCTCTAACCCTCACTTGCGCTGCCCGGATACTCCCCCTGTGCCCATGCGTGCACAGGGGCTCGTTATTTTCGTCATTTTGTTTGCCTTTAAGTTGTCCTTTGTTCTCGCTGGGTGCGCCGTGCCGCCCTCAATGGAGGGCAGATGTTCCTCAGCGTGCAGGTGCGTTTGCACAAAGGGCAGCTCTGAGGTAAACTCCCGCTGTTGAGGGCGGAAACCACCACTTTATTCTGTAGAGTTGAAGATCCTACTTCAAAATGGCGCCATTCAATTGGTATCATCAGCACCTCCTTTAATTGTAATTTAAACAAAGACCTTATGTCAGCAGCATGCTCCTCCCTGTCAGCTCCACTGTGGATGACAACAGTGACCGCAGCAGGACCAGGAGCTGCTCCTAAGCACCAACTTCTTGCTCTGGACCTGACTACGTCTCTGGTAATGACGTTAAAAACCCACGGGGATGCACCTAATGGGGAAAAATCTGTATTGTACAGCCCCCTTCTTCTCACAAAAGGGGACAAAGCGACTATTCACCGACTGGAGAGCCTTTGTAGAGTGTGGCCCAACCCAGTCCCTGGCTTTATTCATTCCATGTATGTGGCAACAACAGATAAAAGTGTAATGGATAATGATGAAAGCCAACGGTATAAACCTTATCAGAGCAGAGGGTGTAATTTCTAATCTTAAAACACCATGATGAGATCTGGATCGAGGGAGCGGATCCTCCCCCTCTGCTCAGCACTGGTGAGGCCACCCCTGGAGCGCTGCGTCCAGTGCTGGGCTCCCCAGTACAAGAGGGACATGGACAGACTGGAGAGAGTCCAGGGAAGGGCCACCAAGATGCTGAAGGGCCTGGAGCATCTCTGCTATGGGGAGAGGCTGAGGGAGCTGGGACTGCTCAGCCTGGAGCAGAGAAGGTTCGGGGGGATTGAATCCACGTGCATAAATACCTGCAGGGAGGGAATGAAGAAGAGGGAGCCAGGCTCTTCCAGTGGTGCCCAGTGACAGGACCAGAGGCAACGGGCACACTATAAGAAATTCCATCTGAACACAAAAAAACCACTTTTCTACTATGAGGGTGGCCAAACACTGGCACAGGTTGCCCCGAGAGGCTGTAGAGTCTCCACCTTTGGAGACATTAAAAACCCAACTGGACGTGGTCCTGGGCAACTGGCTCTGGGTGACCCCGCTTGAGCAGGGGGGTTGGAGCAGAAGGACCCCAGAGGTTCCTTCCAACCCCAACCACTCTGGGTTTCTGTGATGCTGTGAATTCTGATGGCACTGGGGTGGCCGCTCAAGCTAGGTAAGGATGAGATGAAGGTCAGTGGATTGGAGAGGATCAGAGGAAAGAATTAGAGTCGTACCTGCATTTTCCAGTGACAGGTGAGAAACCACCCGTCTTTCCGGATCTGCATTATAAATTTCAGAGTCTGAATGTGGTGGTTTTTTGTATCAGCACACACTCACTGTAACAAAGGGTGTTTCTCCCCATGATTGTTTCATCGTTCCAGCAGGATGAGCACTGACATGCCTGCCAATTTAGATTCAGAAATTGCAAATCTCTAACTCGGGATTTTTCCAAACAATTGTAAGGAACGCAGCCATCTGCTTACTTACTATACTGTGTGGTGATGGCACACCGGTACACACCGTATTATTTGGCTGTATTTTACAGTTTTAACTCTGATGCATTTATGAACTAAATCCTGATCCTTGTTTCTTAAAGGACCTGATACTTATTGTCAGTATAGCAGCAGCATGGCGTTCCAGGGTTAAAAGTTCTCACTTAGAAATATGCTCTCTCTTCCCTCCAGTAACAGTACAATTACTTAGCACTTAAGACAGGAGGGCTGAATCCAGCCAGCTGCCTTCTCCAGTGCACACTAGCAAATAATCTGGGTTGCAGACATAATTAAAAATATGAAAGCTTTCTTTAATTCTTGTTTCCCTCAATATCTTATGTTTTTCCTACCATTCTACTCATAACACTGCTGTCTCCTTCCCGCTATCTATATTTGCTCATTCTATCTACTTTTTATAACTCTTCCTGACCACAGTGGCAACCATGTTTAGGAAGTGGTGGAAGATGTGATATTTCGTCAAAATGGCAGAATTCCACTGAAACTAAAATTAAGCAAAGGATTGGGCATGGAATGTTCTGAATTTGATCCAAAGCTAGAGCAAACTTTGGGCAGGTAGGTTAGAATGATTGAACAATTATGGTGTTCTTTGGCAACACCTTTTTTTCCTGTGTGCCTAGAAGGCCAGTTATTCACTATGCTACAATTTGATGCTCTACTCTGGGCCACAAGAGTTGAGTTCAGGGAGAGGAGCTGTTGTGATGGAAGATGATGACCATCAGAAACAGCTTTTTGCCTTGCAGAGAGCTGCAGAACTGTTAAGTACAAACAGGTATGCTATGCAGACACCAAGGCCTCCACGTGGCTCCCCATTTCTCTTTCAGGGTTTCTGATTTTTTTCCCCAAACCAATGAGATTAACAGTGAAACCGAGAACGCTGTCTCAATTTTGGAACTCACTGGCTCTGATGTATTTCGTTACATTCAGAGACAGTGCTGGAGCAAGGATGCTTGGGAAGTAGACATCTCAGAATAAAAAAGCTGGGGGGTGGAGGAGGGAGAGAGCAGAGACAGAGGGGAATGAATATAAAGGTGGGGGAAGGCTGGTGGGAGCAGGAGCATGGGGAATTCAGAGATGAAAAGTAGAAAATTATTAGGCATGTAAGGACAGAGGCTGGGAAGAGAGGAGAAAAATAGATGGAGTGCAGGTTTGGAAATGGAGTGTGGGTTTGCCCAGAGGTCCCTTCCAACCTCTGATTCTGTGACACAAGGACCTACAGACCAGAGAAAATGAAGAGGAACTGCTGAACACGAGTGTTTATAACAAACCCTGAGTCTGTTTGATCACTCTCTTAAAAGAGAAAAGCCTTTGTGGATGTTGGAGAGAAATGATTGCCAGCCAGGCTTAAACAGGGATGAGGAAGGGAAAGCAAAGAGTATAATTAATATCTTGCTGAATTAGTGAGAAGCAATTTTCTGAGGATTCAAATGAAAGTGGAAGCTTGACTCTGAACTTCAGAAGAAAATCTGCCCAAAGTGACAACACAATCTCGCTTCTTTATTGCGGCTAACAGCAGCAAGCAACGTCACAGTAACACTGATGCTTCTGTTGAGAACCAGCCAAGTGGGAAAAGGGAGGAGAGAGAAGATTCCCTAAAGCTGGCATCTTATTTTGACATCAACTCAACCCCCTCTTGCTGGAAACAAAGCTCCCGTTTATCCAGTTGCCTTATCTCCCCCCGTAATATTCTCCTCAATAACATGCCCTAATTAGATCCTTCTCTCTCACTGCAGATCCTTTTTCCAGGGCCACAGGCACCTCTGTTAGCTGAATGCCATCCTGAGTGTTCCTTCTCAGCTGGAAAAAGTCAGGAAAACAGGCTGGGCTGGAAAAGGTAAATCCTATCTGGAACACATCATGATTTCATCTGTCTGTGACAAGCTTCTGTAATCCCTGGACTAGCACCTCCTCTGCAACTTGATTCATAACTCCTTACAGATTTTTACTTTACTAAGGAGTAAATCTAACCCTGATAAAGCATTTCCTTTCTAAGGATCATGGAAAACTAAACAATGCAGTTGGGGAAACACCTGCAAATAAGACACTCAGAGGACTAATTCATCTTGCATTTTTCATTAGGAGAAACAAATCATTTGAAGTACAAACGCTTACCCGTTCCATCCTGCATGCACACAATTAACACTATCTACACAACAGTCATTTCCCAAGCATGGAAAACAATCGGTCCTCCTCTTTCTCTCATAACAGCCAGCAGAGGTACAACGCAAAGTCAGTGTGCTGTCCTTCCCCTTCTTCCCTCCATATATACATACACACTGCACCCACAGAACTCCTTGGAAGGGAAAGTATGCCGCTAACTAGGGGAAGAAGTCAGTGGATTTAATTCTTTTCCCAAAAAGACCTTCCATTTACTAAAACAGACTGTAGAAAGCTAAGCACGCTCATCAAAAGGTTAGGTGAAAAGAAACAACATCTTATATCCGTTCTTTAAAATACTAACAAAAAAATGTTCAGATGCTTATTTAGGGAAAAAGCAAAGAACTAAGTAGCACAATATTTTGAATCACCTTTAAGAGAGAGGGATGTTTTAGCAAAACCCTGTTTACTATGAGACAGCCAGGAAGTTCTGAATTACTCCTCTGCAGAATGCAGCTTCACTGAGAAAGATGATTTACCCAAGAAATAAAATAACTGCAACGATCCCTAAACTAGGTTCCAGATTATACTACTTACCTGTTTGAGTGCCTTCTTGCTGTGCTTCTGGGATGAGGAGATGACTTTGCCTGTCTGGATGGAAGGTGACGGGCAGCCTGACTGAGGTGACGATGTCTGTGACAGTCTAGATGACACTACAAGAAAAAAAAATACATATACGTAATCTGACCTTTACACGTTTGCCTGCAGCATGTTAGCCAGTCCTCACCATTTCAGATCATCTCATGAGGCTCATGAAAATTGCACCTCTAGCAAATGTTACTTTTTGCACAAAGAATCATTTCTATTTCCCCACCATCACCAAGGCAGCTGTTTTCCTCTGAAAGCCAACAGCAATTCCTATGACCAACCCGAGATTTTTCATCTCTTGTCCATCTCTTTTTTATTAATCTTGTAAATAGCTGCTACCAAATAACACGGCAGCTTGAGAAAAAGCTTCAGGTTCACACAGGTTTACCTAATTCAAATCTAAATCGAAATACAGGCAATGGTTGTCTTCATTTGGAATGTCCTGTGGTCAGACACCTAATTGATAGCAGTTTCTGATCAGATTAAATCTGCATCCCTCGCAACAGTGTGAAGATAAATGACACACAAAGGAAGTGTATATAGCTCGACTATACCTATTTGGCACAGGATACTCAAACTACTCTGCTCTGGCAGCAGTGGGGTGATGGATACGTGGCCAGCCAGGGGAGGCATGCGGTTCCAGTCTCTCATAATCACAGGTTTGCCTGTATTGTCTTGGCAAATATATACGGTACTGGCCACCAAGGTTAACCCATCACATGTACCTATACAAAAAGCCAGGTAATCAGTACACTAGGGCTAGTCAAAGCTGTTTAGCTGCTGAGACTGAAATAGTACAACAAAAAAAGACAAAAGCAAAATGACATTAATTGCAATGCCTTACGTTGCACGATGGCCGTAACAAAACAAACACTATGTAGGCATAGCCAAGAACATCAATGAGATACAGCTGTGACTGCAGTGAACTCTAAAGGTAAATCGTGAGACTGGGTATGGAGGCAGCCAGTTAAAAAGAAAACAACGTAAGTCAGCAAATTCATGGTCTGTATACATACCTGCACATGAATTTGTATAGATAATAATGCCCACTGTAAGATCATAGAATCACAGAATCGTTAGGGTTGGAAAAGACCTCTAAGATCATCGAGTCCAACCGTCAACCCAACACCACCATGTCCACTAAACCATGTCCCTAAGCGCCACATCTACATGTCTTTTAAATACTTCCAGGGATGGGGACTCAACCACTTCCCTGGGCAGCCTGGTCCAATGTTTAACCACTCTTTCAGTAAAGACATTTTTCCTCGTGTCCAATCTAAACCTCCCCTGGCACAACTTGAGGCCGTTTCCTCTCGTCCTATCGCTTGTTCCTTGGGAGAAGAGACTGACCCCACCTCGCTACAACCTCCTTTCAGGTAGTTGTAGAGAGCGATGAGGTCTCCCCTCAGCCTCCTTTTCTCCAGGCTGAACAACCCCAGTTCCCTCAGCCGCTCCTCATAAGACTTGTTCTCCAGACCCCTCACCAGCCTCGTTGCCCTTCTCTGGCCACGCTCCAGCACCTCAACGTCCTTCTTGGAGTGAGGGGCCCAAAACTGAACACAGTATTCGAGGTGCGGCCTCACCAGGGCCGAGTACAGGGGCACGATCACTTCCCTACTCCTGCTGGCCACACTATTTCTGATACAGGCCAGGATGCCATTGGCCTTCTTGGCCGCCTGGGCACACTGCCGGCTCATGTTCAGCCAGCTGTCGACCAGCACCCCCAGGTCCTTTTCCGACAGGCAGCTTTCCAGCCCCTCTTCCCCAAGCCTGTAGCGCTGCATGGGGTTGTTGTGGCCGAAGTGCAGGACCCGGCACTTGGCCTTGTTGAACCTCATCCAGTTGGCCTCGGCCCATCGATCCAGCCTGTCCAGGTCCCTCTGCAGAGCCTTCCTACCCTCGAGCAGATCAACTCTCCCGCCCAACTTGGTGTCGTCTGCAAACTGACTGAGGGTGCACTCAATCCCCTCGTCCAGATCATCGATAAAGATATTGAACAAGACTGGCCCCAAAACTGAGCCCTGGGGAACACCGCTCGTGACCGGAATGAAGGAAACAAAACGAAGAGTAAAAGAATGTTTGATCCCAGGGTGGGGAGAACCCCTACCATAAAGGATAATAAACAGATTCACATGTAAAATATTTAAATTATTGCTTCCTGAAGCAATTATTTCTAGAATATATGGGGCTTAACTAGTATCCTTCTGCAACAGAAAGGAGTTAAGAGATAACGACAACAGCTCTTCATTAACAACAGCCACAGTGTGATCCCCCTCAGTATCCAGAGAAGGGAAGCTCCCGAAAACAATGCAGTGACAGTAAGCATCAGAAAGCAACATTTCAATAAAATGCACAGAATTAGTAACAACAAATTATAAAAAGCAAAATTCTCACATGTGGCATGGACATTAAATGAAAAGAGCAAGGTTTTTAGAAGGCATACAAAACAGAGATGAGGTAATACCGGACTCTGAAATGTCATTAAAAACAACAACAGCAAAACCTATGGTAGGAAACCGGTAATTTAAGTGTCACTGACAAGATTGCCATACCCAGATGATACATGCACATGATAAAAGATGACACAGTTGCACAGCAAGCAGAACTACCACTTAAAAGGCAACCCCCCCACAATGTTACACCAAAACCTGGAAAGCAAAGGTTTTATCTGTACTTTGAAAGAGCAGTAAGAATGTTTGTAAACTTGCATTTGTCTCTCAATTTGGTTGAAATTGCAGTTCAAGAAGAATAAGAAGATGCTGGAAAGGTCATAGTCTGATCAGCACCTGGAGAGGAAAAGCAGATCTCACAAATCCATTAGAATTGTTTGAATGCATCGATAAAGAGAACTGGAAGAAAAGAAAGTTTGTTGCTAAGAGTTCACTCACACTTCCAGAGATTTTCAACAAAAGACTTCTAAAAATTATTTGGCTATTGTTTAAAAAACAAAGAATTGGCATAACTCTGATGCTGGATGGGACAGAAGGCAAAGAACAGAATCAAATGGTAATCAGGCAAGAAATCAGCAAAAATTCTGCAAGGTCACGTACTAAGTAGGGAGCATTTTGGTGCTTAGTGACAGGCTGGAAGGCAGGAAACAGTAAAATATTAAATATTTAGTTTAGTTAAGATCAGAGAGAATTGTGTGGAAATTCAGAGAAATATAATTCAGAGAACAAAAGACCAAAAATATTAAGTAAAACATCAAAAAAGGAGTAAGCAAATTTTTGGAGGAAAAACCCCAAGATGCTCGTAGAGCCTGTAGTAATCTAAATGAACCGTGTCATCTCAGGAAAGGGATCCATTATGGCTGACAGGCGTACCAAAATGGCCAGCAAGATGATGCAATGTGTAAAGATGGAAAGATGATGTATCTAAAATTCTTACAGCGTATTCACGTAGCCTGTCTCACATACTGAAGTGCCGATCACACAACATCAGCAAAATTTGATGGGATTCAGGAAAGTAAAGAAAACGGTTAAGGACACAATAAAAACTACGACAATGAGCTGTTTGATATTATTCTCAAAGGAAGAACCATGAGTGCAGCGTACAAAATGAAATGATGTAGCTTCGTGTCCGGGCGCCCCGTTTCTGCAGGGAAAGCACCATGCTTGCAGCCACCAGGCCACTGTCGTCACCCGGAGAGCCTGGGCACAGCAGAGCCATTGGCCTCTCTTACACTAACCAGGTACATTCCCAGTCCACCACCGCTGCAAACACAACCCTCGGCTAGACAAACGCTGCACCCCTGTCCTTGTAAACCTAATCCTTGCTCATAGTTGTTAAACACGAAGGAAACACAAGTTTGGTTTAACATTTAAAACCCAGGCAGACTGACTGTTACTAGTTTCGAGACATTTGAATAGCACGAACATAAACCACATCCTCTTTGAAGCCTATCACTGGTGAAACTACAAGTTCTGTGTGAAGTAGAAACATTAAGCCAAATACAGGCTACTCTTCTTCAGCCTCATATTCTATTCACATTTTAATTTTTATGCTGTCTTTGAACCAAGAAAACTAATCTTTTCAAACCAGGAATGGCAGCACAGGCTTTAGCTGTGCTAAAGCCCACACCTGGGAAGACAACTCATCCCTGGAGCAGATACAGTAAAGCTGCATTGTGATATTTTGTGCATCCTCTGACTGTGTAAAAGCCCTTGGTGCCACAACGGCTGCTGTGTTGGACCGACAGCTGTAACCACAACAGATTCTCAAGAACAAACAGGAGAACTTGAGAAAGCCAACCAAGTCACAGCTGCTTGAGCTCAGCTGTGGGCCCCCAGAGCGAAGTGGGGATGGATGGCAGGATAAACCTGTGAGAATACACCCCTGAGTCCTTGGACCCAAAAGCTCTCAGAAAGTTTACATCCTTTTAATAACTTTGCACGCAGCCAAGCAGAGGTATAACACAAAGACGTGCACATGTAGAAAAATATTCAGACTCCCATAAGGACGAGGCTTGACAAGCTGAGTTTGTTTCCTTTAGATTTAAACAGAATTTCAGTAAAGTTAGTTCTGTCTTCACTTCAGCCTTTCTTGTAATTTGAAAAGTATGTGGAGCTGAGATTATACCTCTTGATGCCCTTAAATCCTAAGAGCACTTTTGGAGGGAAGCTGCAGAAATAATTACAGAACGTAAAGCGACACCTGGGAAAGCAGTGCATCCAGTAAGATGCTCTGATTTTAAAAGACACGATGAGTTGCTTTGCGCTGTTTCTATGTAAATAAGGATTTCCTTGATCAGCTAAAGATTAGGGAAGACCGTGGGCCAGTATCTGACAGAAACGAATTTCAGTAGATTTTGTAAATTAGAAACAGTAAACAGAATCCCCTCATCCCAAAGAGGCATACAAGAGATAGGATGGAGATGTCACCTTGATAATAAGTGGTAAGGACAGAAACGTGACTAAAGGGCAGTGACAAAAAAGTCTCAGGTATTTGAGAGTGCTGGCTTGGAGAAGCAATTAAAAATACGCATCCATAGCCAGGATAGCTCCAAAGCTAGTAACTCTGTACGCTTGGCCTGAAGTCACTGCGCCAGCTGGTTCATTCACGAGGT